CTGGCAATGTCAGCCTGACTTCTTTCGAGACACAGCCTCCAGCCACCAAGGGAACAAGGAGCTATAAAATGGAAATTGAGGGGAAAAGGCTTCAGAGCAGCTGTCAGGAAGCACCCCTCCCCTACCTTGGCTGAGACAGGGATGACCTCACTGCAACTTTGTCTGGGCTGACACACCTGGGTCTGTCCTGCTGGCTTGCTGGAGACCACCAGGGCACTCACATAGGCCTCTAGCCATCCTCCCACTTGTGGAAAACATGGAGTTTTATGCTATCACCGGTTCTATAGTGGGCTTTCCGAAAGGGGTGTTAGGGGCTACATCCTGGGGAGCCTTCTCGCACAGATTGGAGAATCTGGGCCTGCATACCTGTGAAGAGTCCAACAGGTGAAGCCAAAGACCATCTGTCATAGGGCCTTTGATGCCATCATTCTGCTTGTAACCCCCCTTCCCCATTGGCCTAGCTAGTTCTCTTATTTATTTGGCTGCACCAGGCCTTAGCTGTGGCACTCGAGATCTTTAATCTTACTTGCGGCATGTAGGATGGAGTGCCCTGGCCAGGGGCTGAACCCGGGCCCCCTGCACCAAGAGCATGGAGTCTTAATCCCTGGACTACCAGGGAAGTTTTGGCCTGGCTAATTCTTATTTATCTTTTGCACCTCAGGACAGAGCACATGGTCTTAGGAAAGATTTCCAAATCCCTCAGACTGGGTCACATGCCCTATCATAGATTCTGTAAGTCTTTCTCTCTATAGCACTTAGCACAGTTGTGATTTTACACGTACTAGAGTCTTTACTTGTATGAGGTCAGCTTCACCTACTAGATTGAGCCCACCTCTGCTCACTACTGTATCCCCAGCACCTCGCCCAGCACCCAGCACAGAGTAGGTACTCAGTAAGCATCTCTTGAATGAATGAAAGAGTGAAAGAATGAATCTTAATCAAACTCCTTAAAACAAAGAGTCTATTTATGGGAAGTTTAGCCTCCTCAAAACACAGCACTATTTTTGCACCTGGAAAAAAGAGGATGAAGTTTCAGACCCTAACCACTCTTGTTCAGTCTCATGATTCACCTACTGAAAATGGAGTGACCCTCTCATGACTCCCACTGACTTTGGGGGACACCCCACCCATCCCCCCACACCCTTTTTCTTCATTGCTCCTGCCCTCTCCTGTCAATCTGTCATCAAGGCTGGTCTCTTCACCTCCCACCTCAGTGATTCTCAGCTCTGGCTGCAGCTAACCGACCACGTATCTGTAAACATACAGATGTCTGAGTTTCTGATTCAAGGACAGTAAGCAGTCTCCTCACTGGTCTCTCAGGGCTCCAGGCTTGGGGTCCCCAAACCATTCCCCAAACCATTCCCCAAACCATTCCCCAAACCATGCCCCAAACCATGAAGCAGCTGCCAGAGACATCTTTCTAGAATGAAAACCTAATCATGACACGCTTCTGGGTGTAACTTCCCCCTGCCTCCCACTGCCTCCAGGACAAACTTCAAATTCTCGGAGAGCCTCCCAAGGCCCTGCTTCCTCCCCTGGGCTCACCTCTGTGTTGCTTCTTGGCCCCTCACTCACACTCTGCTCTAACATGGTAGCATACTAAGAGCCTGAACAGCTGGGTCATGCTCTTCCCTTCCTCTTGGTCTCTGCTGCCCTGTCCAAGGTCAAAGAAAAATTTATTCTGACACTTGTTAAACTAGTAAGGAAGATTTTGTTCAGAACTGTTGCAGTAGGAGAGAGAGCTGGGGTTCAACTCACGATATAATAGACAGCTGGAAATTTATAGACAATAAGCAGAGCAAAGGGATCTATAGATGGAAAATTACTAAGAGGAGACACCAAGGGTAAGGGCTAAACTGGCCTAACCAGATTCTTGCTAAAAATCAGGCTGAGGGCTTCGACATCAAGGGTAAAGGATAAGGAATTTGGTCAGATCTCAAGGGTGTGAGGATGATTTAGCAGGATACTTTGCTAAGATTGAGCTGTGTGGCCCAAAGACAGGTATGAGGGGAGGGGCAAGGTCAATGCCTAGTCAAGAAGAGAGATAAGAGGAGCCTGCTGAAAATTTTGTGAAGGAGAGCGCCTTTGTCGCCAGCAACCCTTCCCTGTGCTCTGCTCTGCCTCTGACAGTACCTGCTTCTCCAAGTTTCCACAGAGGTGCCTCTGAGAAGTCTTATCTGACCCTCCTCCAGGAACAACCCTCCATCTGTCCTCGGTTAGCACTTATTACATCCAAGTGTATCTATCTGTTTACTAGCCTGCTCCTGAGTTTGACTGTGAGCAATTTGAGGGCAGAGATTGTATTTTGAATCCCCAGTGCCTAACATTGTTTGAACCTCAATAAATGTTTGTTGAATGAATACAGCTTGATGAATAGGATCTCATGGACCACTGTTCTGCTCAGAAACAATCACTGATTCTGCTTGGCTTGCATCAGTGGTTTTCAGCCTTCAGTGAGCATCAGAATCATCAGGAGGGTTTGTTAAGCACAGAGTGCTGGTCCCCCTCCAGAGTTTCTGATACAGTAGGTTGGACTGGCATGTCTAACGACAGGTGAAGCTGCTGCTGGGCACTTTGGTAATCACTGACCTACAGGAGTGGAGCTGATATCATCCCCAAGTGAGATGCACACACTCTTTTAAAATCCAAAGATAAGAGGATGGAATAAGCAAATTTCAGGTGAGGCGTGAAGCAGATATGATCTCATGATCTAGGTGACCTCCTTCTCTGCCTAAAGTGTAAGATTCACTTTTTCTCTCTCCCTCTCCCTCTCTCTCCTTTGCAGGCTGGAGTGACAGCTCAAGGCTTCATTTCCTTGCCCTGGGCTTCATTTGTGAGGGGCTGCCTTCCAGCCCCCTCTGCCAGGCCTGGTGCCAGGCTGAGAGCAAGGACTGTAGCCCCCGGGTGGCTGACTGGCACACCAATGCAGGGGACCCCCTCCCATCTCACCTCCCATGATTGGCTCCTACTGCAAATAGATTCAGGGAGCAGAGACAGCCAATAGGGGGCCGGGAACAGAGCACGCTGCCCACAAAGACTCTACGCAGCCCAAAGTGGGTCAAGGTGCAGTTGTTTGCAGGGCATATGGACAGAGCTGGGATGTGCAGGCTGTGGTTTTCATACACGTATATGAGACCTTTGGGTTGTGGAGCAGAATCAAATGTGGAAGAAAGAGAAAGGGGACTGTTCCAGGAGGCAGGGCTAAGGTCTAGTTCCAGGGAGGACCTCCTTCAAATGCTAAGTCTGAACCTGTCCTTAGGCCACAATGAAAGAATATTCGTCAGGACAGGAAGTTAGAACATGTCTTTTTATTTTTTTAAAGCTTGTTGTCTTAACTTCTAACTATTCAGACATGTGCTATGAGGGCCGCCATCTATACCCTTGCTCAGGCCCTGCAAATGTTTGGGGTGCGCCTGACTGTAGGAGTGACCGGGTGAAGTGAGCTCCCCAGGACTCAGGACTGCTCCTGAGGGTCTGTGCTGTTCCCCAGGTTCAGCATCAACACCTGGAAGTCGAAGGTAGTCCTGCCTTCCTGAGGACTGGCCATTAACCCTCAAAAGCACCTAGAGAGATTTTTCTCCTCCTAGGGGTGAGGGTGAAAATAGGTTCCACCGTTAAATGACAACAACTTTGTCTGCTCATTGAGATCAAGGAAGAGGCCTGGACCTGGGAGGTTTAGATCTGGTGTTCCCAATCAAGTAGTCAGATGGTCAGCAGGGCTGCAGAATCAGACAAACCTCAATGCTGCCACTTCCCAGATGTGTTTGCTTGGGCAAGTCTCCTCTCTAAACCTCAGCTTTCTTACTTGTTAAATGGAGGTAACTGGGATGCCTGCACACAGAGGGATTACGCCAAAGCCTTTAGTACAGGTGGGTGGGTGCTCAGTGTTAGCTGCTGTTTCTGATTTCCTGGGTTAGCTCATCCCCATGGGGTGTGGCTTCCTCCCCAGTCGACCCCACCTTTGGCAGAGTGTACCAAGTTGAAGAAATTTACCCTCTGGGTTCCCGACTTGCCATTTGGACATCCTTTGCATGTGGGGACCCTTCCAACTCATTTCAGGGGCCCATGATGCTCATCTTACAGCTCAGGCATTCTTATCAAAGCAGGTTCCTAGGTTCCTAACTCAGAGATTCTGATTCACTAGGTCAGGGGTTGGCCCAGGAATCTGCATTTTAATGAGCTCCCCAGATGAGTCTCAGAAAAGAGGCAACTCTTGGAGAAACACTGTGGTTGAGAAAGTAGACAGAAAGCCCAAAGCAAGAGCAGCCTCTGGGAGACAGGTTCTTCTTTAATCGTAAGCACTTTTCTAAGATCCAAGCTGCCCAAGAACGGAATTCGCTCCCTTAAGACATAGTGAGCCCCCATCAAGGAAGATGTGCAAGAAAAAGCAGGATAAATGCCTGACAGAAATAGGCAAGGACACAAACCTTAGCACGGGAGTTGGGGTCTGTGACCATGAAAATCACTGACATTCCATCTTCTTTTTCAGATCAGGAAGTGCTCTGTTAGTCCTTCTGTGCTCCCCATGCTCCCTTTCCCAGGGTGATCTGGGTTTGAGTCTTCTGCTTGAGAATGGCAGGAATCTGTTTGTGTCCTCAGACAGAAAGCTGGTGAGGAAGATCATTCGAGGCTGCCCCACTCAACTGAGACAACAGAGGGAAACCCCATGCAATTTTCTGGAAAGAAGAGCCCTGTCTCAGGCCTCTTGTACCCCCCGACTCCCGCCTCGCCCGTTCTCCATCACCACACGTGGTTTAGAAAAGGAGTTAGAAGCCAAGGAGGTTGTGGAGGCAGTTTGAGACTATGCCCAGGTGAGGACTTGGAGCCGCCTTGCAGTGACTTGTGCCTAACACCGCGTGTAATCGCTGCCACATGTCTCTGTCAAGAACGCGTGTGCGCTTCACCATGGCCCGTGGAAACTCGCCCATCAGGACCCTTTGAGCGGAAGACAAATGGACAAGTTAGGACAGTGATAAATTCTGCTGTCCCTCTGTTTTCAGATGCCCCCAGCAGCAAAGCTGCTAAGCTGGGGACAAGGGCGGAAGTTACCCTTGGCAGCCAGGTTCTGGTGGCCTGCGGCATGTGGTTGCTCCCCAAATACATCGTCTCAAAGTGGGGACCAGGCAGTCCTTTGTTTGAGCAGATGGGTTGACGTGTCAGTGGTTAAGGAGGTGAAAGAGGAGTCAGGGAGAATGGGAGGGCGGCAGCTTTCTTTATCTGCTCATCTGACAATTCACCATGAGGGCCCCCGCCCCAGCTGTGTCATCCAGGCCTAGACTTGCTCCCCAGGTGTCTAAACATGGCCAGCTGTCTTCTAACTGTTTTCCAGAAGCCAGCAGAAAGCGTTCCTCCTACCTGAGCTCCACAGGTGTCCCTGGAGACACAACACCTCTGAGCCAAAGGGGAGTGTTTCCTGCTGGGACAGGACCTCTCCCCCAATTCGAGGGCACTGAATCTGTCTCTTTAGGCCCCTACATCTTTCCATTTTGAAAAACAGTTTTTAGGAATGATGACCACACATTGGGCACCTACTATGTGCCATAAACATTGCAGAGAGTTCCACGTGCATAGCCTCAGCTGTTCCTAAACATCAAACTATTAGCCCCAGAAGCTACTCTACAGCACAGGGAGCTCTGCTCAATGCTCTGTGATGACCTAGAGGGGTGGGATGGGGGGGAGGGGGGAGGGGGGGTCGAGAGGGAAGGGATATCTGTATGTATGTATAAGAGATAACTATGCATATGTAGTATAAGAGATAACTATACACATGTAGCATAAGGGATAACTGTGACAGTGATTGAGTTCAGTTCAGTCACTTAGTTGTGTCTGACTGTTTGTGACCCCATGGACGGCAGCATGCCAGGCCTCCCTGTCCATCACCAACTCCTGGAGTTTACTCAAACTCATGTCCATTGAGTTGGTGATGCCATCCAACCATCTCATCCTCCGTTGTCCCCTTCTCCTCCTGCTTCCAACCTTTCCCAGCATCAGGGTCTTTTCAAATGAGTCAGTTCTTTGCATCCGATGGCCAAAGTATTGGATTTTCAGCTTCAGCATCGGTCCACAGTGATTGAAGTGGTCCCAGATTTCACTCTAGTTAAGGTATTGATGGCCTTGGTTAAGATTCTGATGGCTTTCTGCACAGAGTGATACATAAACTAATTAGCAGTCTTAACCAAGGATTTTGGGCTTCCCAGGTAGCTCGGTGGTAAAGAATCTGCCTGCCAAGCAGGAGATGCGGATTTGATCCCTGGGTTGGGAAGATCCCCTGGAGAAGGAAATGGCAACCCACTCCAGTATTCTTGCCTGGGAAAGCCATGGACAGAGGACCCTGGTGGAATATAGTCCATGGGGTCACAAGTTTCAGACACGACTTAGAGACTAAACAACCACCACCACCACCAATGATTTTACCAGGTATACCTTGATGCAGAGAAGAGTGCAGCTCCAGACTCGTGTTCTATAGGAAGTCTTCCATCCTTACTCCAGTGCATTATGATCAGTGTTCATTAGAACTCTTGGTTACAGGTGGTAGGAATCCAAGTCAAATGTACCTGAGAAATAAACAAATTCAGCAACCAAAAATTTAAAAACCAAGCATAACCTAAATATATTGGCTAGCATAACTGAAAAACTCTAGAAGTAGGTAAATGCAAATGATGTCATCAGGATTTGCTCTCACTACCTTCCAGCTTTGCTTTCCTTTGCGTTGAGTTTATTTCCAGGCAGGCTCTGCCCCTGTGGAGACTCCAGAAATCCAGGCTTGCATGCTACCAGCTTGGCAACCTCCAGGGAAAGAGCATTTCTCAACAATTCTAGCAGAAGTCTTGAGATAGATTCAGGTTGCTCCAAATTGAATAAGATGCCCATTCTGAGCTAATTACTATAGCCAAGGAGGAACTGGAACACTCCATGGTTAGACTTGGGTCATGTGCTGACCATAGAGATGAGATAATCTCACTAGAGTTCAGTCTCACTTAATCCATGGACTAAGAGTAAGGGAGGCATGCTCCCCAAAGGGAAGTGGAGGAACCAGAGAATGGGAGTTGATGCTGGGCAGGTACAAACTGCAGAACTCTGCCACCGCCCACCCTCCCCCCCCCCCCCACCGCCTGAGATCATGGAGAGAATAGAAGGCAGAAATAGTACTAAAATTCAGCCTTTTGAATCTCAAATAAATCTGTTTTTTCTTTTTGGCTAAACTGCATAACATGCAGAACTTCCCCTTCCCCGCCCAGATATTGAACTGTGTCCTCTGCAGTGGAAGTGCAGAGTCTTAACCACTGGACCACCAGAAAAGTCTGAAACCTGGTTCTTAAGTCAAATAGACCAAAGTGTGAGGGCTGGATCTGCAAATAAAACTCTCAAGCCTCCTGGGATTTCCTAGAAAAATAATGAGGAGTATGGGGGTGGAGAGCTGGCAGAAATAGACACTTCCCGTTCTGATGAGACTCTCAGACTCTCAGACTTGGAAAAGCACCAAGTCTAACTTCTCCATTCTCTTTACAACATCCTCTCCAGGTGGCTGGACCGCCTCTGCCTGGGTGCCACCAGGGACAGGAAACACACTCCTTTTTTCAGGCAGTCATGTTTTTTCTCAAGATACTCTGACCATTAAAAATAAATATCCCTATTTTGAGTCCAAGCTGTCTTCCTGTAGCTTCTGCCTCCTTGTCCTGAGAGTCACAGAGAACAAGTCAAACGCTGGAGTGGTCCAGAATGAAAGAACACGAGACTGAAGGTCAGAAGAATATGGTTTTCCTGTCTGTTCTCTACATCTGTATCTCTATTCCTGCTCTTAAAATAAGTCCATCTGTTCTATATTTTTAGATCCCACATATATATGTTGCTATACACTATTTGTTTTTCCCTTTCTGACTTAACTCGCTCTGTATGATGGGAGGAAGGGGAGAGTGGGGAGAATTGGGTGACACCCCAATTGGGTGACTTGGGATTGACATCTATCCACTACAATGTATAAAGCAGATAGCTAGTGGGAAGCTGTGATACAGTATGGGGAGTTCAGCTTAGTGCTCTGCGATGACCTGAGCGGTGGAATGGGGGTGGGGGCGGTGGGACGGAGATCCCAGAGGGAGGGGATATACATATACATGTAGTTGATTCCCTTCATTGTACATCTGAAATGAACACAGCATTGTAAAGCAATTATATTCTAATTTTAAAAAAAGAAGAACATGGTTTTGATGAAGGGCCTCTACTAGGAGAGCAAGAAAACTATAATCAGGTGCAAGCATGAATGTGAAAGTACTTTGCATGTCACAGATCTCCATCATTATCTGTCAGACACTTACTGTAAGGACTAAAGGTATTATCTGACTTTATTCTTATGTAAGCATTTGAGAGAAATACTATTTTTATTCCCAATCCACAGATGAGAAAACTGATGCCACCAGAGCTCAAGTCCTGGGTCACATGGGTAATTTAAGTGGCAGAGTGGGGATGTGTATTCTAGCTCTGACTCTGCCACTTAAATTACTGTTGGTCCCACATGTGTGTCCTCATCCAACACTTCACCTATGAGAAATATGGGCATTGCTTTAATTGATTCAGGCTAAAGACCCTTGGTGCTTCCCCAGTGGCTCAGAGATAAAGAAACTGCCTGTAAGGCAGGAGACACGTGTTTGATCCCCGGGTTGGGAAGATCCCCTGGAGTAGAAAATGGCAACCCACTCCAGTATTCTTGCCTGGAAAATTCAGTGGACGGAGGAGTTTGGCCGGATGCAGGCCATGGGGTCCCAAAGAACTGGATACGACTGAGAGTGTGCACACGTGTGCAAAGACCCTTGAGTTGGTGGGTATGTTTGCTTCTTCTTTCATAAGGTTGCTGAGCAGTTCTTGGCTTCCCCATCCATTCTGTGGGACAGAGAGAGCTGCTGAAGGTGGGAGCATCAGCCAAGCGCAGCCCCTCAGCCAAAGGCTCCCTCAGAGCCAGATGTCCTGCAAAGATGTTTTCCCAAATAAATCCTTCCCTTTTCCCTGGTCCAGAGATTAAATAACCCACAGGCGGCACTCCAGACAGAGAGAAAAATGAAGAACAAGGCAATGCATGTTACAAGAACATAAAAAGGACCAGGCTCTATTTACTCAGACTGGGAAACAGATTCCAGGGACAATGTGTCTGCTTCAGTGTAATTATCCTGAAAGTGGTCGGCATTTTACTCAGCTCCAAAACTTATAAAGAGGCTTCAAAGAGATGAATATTCTGGGGGCTGTTTTATCAAAAGGGACTTAAGAGGTAAGGTTTCTAGATCAAACTCAGCTCTTAATTGAATCAGCCAAAAACTGAAAAAATAATTAAAAGGGAGTTTTATGAAACAGGAGGATTTATTTTGGATATGCAGATTGAAAGGAAAGGGTAGAAACTGACCCATATACCTGGCAGAGTATCTCCACACTGCTGGCTGGTATTAATGAGAGTAGAAAGAAATGAAGTTGTTGAAATTATAAACCTCTAGCTTAGAAGAAATATGGAGCATCCATCTGCTGTATCTTTTTCACATAATTCATTACATTTGATTCAACTTGTTTTTTCAATAAATAATGATTAGGACATGTGTTAAGCTCCAGGGATACAATGCAGAAGATAAGGCAGCCCTTCCTTCAAGGAGCTTAGCATCCACAAGTACATCCCAGGGTGAGAGGCTCAAGCCCCCACCTGTCCATCTTAGCAGAGAGAGTGCATTTCCTACAGTTTTCCCACCCCCACACTCCTCTTTACTTTTCTGGGAAGTCCTATGGGGCTTAAGAGTTTAGTAACAGTTAACTTTCACATTCCAACCTATTTGACCTTAGAACTGATTAGCTTGAGATTCAGGAAGCTGGATTCTAGTCCTTTCTCTGCTTTCTACTATCTATATGATCTTGAGAAAGAAGATTCTCATCCTCTACAGAGGGAAACTGAGCCAGGGCAGCTTTCCTCCTCTTGCTCCCCAATCCCCATGTTATGTTTGAATGGGCACACATCCTCATGGGTGCTTAAACAAGCTTAAACAAGCTCCCTGTTCTCAGTTTGATTAGATGTAAAGTAGGACTATGTTTTTGTTAAGATAAACATATGTGAAATGTTTACAATAGTGGCAGTTTCATAATAAACATTCGATAGACATGAACTACTATTAGAACACTGTGGAC